AAAAAACCGAGCGTGTCAGCGACACATATTATGTTTCTTTCCAAATCCCGGCCAAAAAAACCAACAGAGGATCTCCCGGCCAAAAAATCGAGGGTTGTATATCTTTTGAAATCCACTCCAAAGTTCCGAGTGCGTATTTTCAAGTACAATTATCGACAGAGATAGTACACGGACATTGGCCATAACCAGGGAGCCTTTTCTTTTCCAAATCCCGGCAAAAAAACGAGGAGCCTTTGTAGTCATTATACGCGCGAATCGCACGCGCGGCAATAGACACAGCTAAAAGCATATCCTGCACCACGGTGATAAATGGAGGTGGAGTACATACCTTTCACCCGAAGAAGACATTTTGTAATAGTATTAATGGTTTGTGAAGCACTTGTGAATTTATTGCCCTACCTCACCCACTCCTGTTATATATACTCTCTTATATTTTTTTTAATACGTCCACACACACAAAATTTCCGAACAAATAGAGTTCCTCTTTTCACATTAAATTAACTCTGGCCATGATGTGATAACTTTTTCTTGCCAAAGTCCGGCCTATAAAAACCGAGGATCTCCCGGCCCAAAAAATCGAGGAGCTTCTTCTTTTCCAAATCCCGGCCAAAACCGAGGATCTCCCGGCCAAAAAACGAGGAGCCTTTTCTTTCCAAATCCGGCCAAAAAACCGAGGACCTCCCGGCCAAAAACCGAGGAGCTTTTTCTTTCCAAATCCGGCCAAAAAACCGAGGATCTCCCGGCCAAAAAAAACGATGAGCCTTTTCTTTCCAAATCCCGGCCAAAAAAACGAGATCTCCCGGCCAAAAAATTGAGGAGCTTTTTTCTTTCAAATCCCGGCCAAAAACCGAGGATCTCCCGGCCAAAAAATCGAGGAGCCTTTTTTTTCCCGAAAATGCCCGGCCAAAAAACCGAGGAGCTTTTTTCTTTCCTAATCCCGGCAAAAAATCGAGGAGCTTTTTCTTTTCCAAATCCCACGCCAAAACCGAGGATCTCCCTACACAATCCTGATTTGATCGCTTGATATGTGTCACAACTAACTCACGAAATTTTCCTAGTGAAAACTGGGGCAGAAAAATTTCGTTTGTTGTTTGTTTTGGTGTCTTAAGCAGGTCTAACACCGAGGCACAGGGTGGCGAAGACGACGATGGAATGAGTCTCAATCCAGAATAAAGAAAAGAAGAAAAGACAAACAGAAATGAATTCAAAATGTTGAAGCAAACAAGGGTGCGGATTGCTCAAAATCTGATCGTAGTCACAAGCTCCGCCGACCCCGTTTTGACCCAATGCTGCAGAAAGAAACAATAACCTACACCTGCGAGCATCAAGATTCAGATCGGAGTCCACAGCAAAATCAGCTAAGACTCAAGATCAAGTTTCAAGAGATTTATAGATAGGAAATCTTGTAACTCATAGTTGATAGGCATAGCTAGCTTAGCTTTGATTTTCTTTTTGGTGTAATAAGGAGCTCAGCAAGCAGAAACAGCAGCAACAGCAATTGAAATCACAGCCTCCCGGTAGTCCCAGCTACCAAAACTTGCAAGAACTACACTGACCTGATTCCCTTTATAGCCAAGGATATGTAGGCAACCTTTAAAGCAGGGTTCGGTTAGGCCTCTTTTTCAAAAATGTTTCTCATGGAGTTTCAAACAGGCAAAAATCCCTCATATTGCTCACTTTATCTTTGCCCGAAAAACTCTTCATGTTTCCGAGCAAAGAGGGGCAGCTGTAAGCACGTGATTTTTGCTCTATACGAAATACTCCTATAAAATCCCAAGAAAATAAATTTTTTGTTAATTATTTGACATTTTAGGATTTTTGTAGAATTTTTTATTAATTGTTTGCATTTTTTTGCACGTTTAATTTTTTATTAAAATCATGAAAATGTCAAAAAATTATCATGCATTGCATTTAGGTTTTTGCTTTTACACTTTTAGGATTAATTAGTTAATTATTTATTTTATTAAAAAATGAAAATCACAAAAAATGCGTCATTTTTACACTTTTGACTTTTTATTTTAGGTTTATTGATTTTCCACTTTTTATTTAGGATTTAAGTATTTTTATAATTTTGTAATTAGTTAATTAGTTTAATTTCACATTTTTCCGACAATTAAGAATTTTTAGTTTGTAGGATTTTAATTAAAAAAAAAAGGAAAATTTGAAATAAAAGAAAGAATTGGAAAAGAATTGAAATTGAGCCATCTTTAAACAACCACTAGCCAATCTCCCTATGACCCGACCTGGCCCAATAACCCATTCCCCTCTCATTAAATCCCAACCCTAAAGACCATATCCATCAGATTTTTTTCGATCTCTACAGGGAGCGCAGCTTTTTTCCATTTTTCGACACAAAAAAAGAAAAAGGATCGGACTTCTCTTCTCAAGAAATAGCAGAGAACGGCACTCCATGGCATTTCTCAAAACAAAAACGACGACCTCACTCTCTCTCTCACGCTTAGAGGGAATGAATTTGAGAGAAAATTTTCAGATCTGAGAACAAAGAAAAAAAACCAAAAAAAAGGGGTTTTTGAAGGTGCCTCCTAAAATTCTGTCAATTCCCTTCATCATATTCTGGGTTTTCAAGCTGATTTCGGGGCAGATTTGAAGTTGTTTTCTCTGTTGTTTTGCTGTTGTGGATCTGAACTTCATCTCCTGCCTTCCGACCTTTTATTTGGTCAGTTTTTTCCATTGCGTTTTTTGCTGCTAGGTACATCTCCTAAACTTGTATTATTTGCCTAATAATGGATGTGATTAATGAATCTCATACTGGTTGCTGCGTTGTATATTTGCCAATGGGTCAAGATTTTAGTCACATAAATCTCAGTTTTGTTAAATGAACCAATTGGCCGAGATCAGTTCTTCTTAACTTCCATTTGCTGCGCCTACTGTTAACCCGTGATATACATCAAAGTTGCTTAAGTGTGTGTCATCTTTTGTTGTTATACTAAATGCTTGACCACATAGGTATTAATCTGAGATTGTTTGGTTAACTGGTGATTGGTTTGGTTGATTAAAAATGTGTTTGTAGCTTCATTTTACCTTTGTTCGTATTTTTGCCTACATATGGGTACGGTGCCTGTGACATCGTTATGATACACAATTCCAAACTCGGGTGCATTTCATGTAACCCCGTTTGTAACAAATTCGAATAATAGAACCCTTTGAAATAATTTGAGGCGTGCCATGTCAAGTAAAATCTCAAAATTCATGGCCCTCACTTAATTAATTTTAACTCTTTAGAAATCGAGGTGTGCAATTAGTGAATTTTCTATGGCCCTCACAAATTTGAAGTAGTAGTTGCTTTAGGCGCGTAATTTAATTTAACTTCCTTAAACTCGGGTGTGCATTTCATGTGACCCAAATCCAAATCCCAAAACGTTGAATAAAATGTGTCGAGATCCGGGTGCATTTCATGTGACGTGATCCAAAAACATGTTTTAAACGACGTTCAATTTCTCTTAAAAAATTTAATTTAAAGCGGTAAATAATTTTAAATTGCACTATAGGATGACATGTTTAAAAATCAGATTTTAGCCAATTATAATAGTTTTAAGCGACCGTGCTAGAACCACGGGATCCGGGGGTGCCTACACCGTCCCTCGGGTCAACAGAATTCCTTATTCAGAATTTCTGGTTGGCAGACTCCATTCAGGAAGTCGAAATTCTCGATTTGGGAATCAAGATAAACCGGTGACTTGGGACACCCAAAAGCCAAACCTATCCCAAGTGGCGACTCTGAAATGAATAAATAATCCCATTTCGAATAATGTCACTTTTAAATGAAAAAATCTCCCTTATACATTATCCTTCGGGGTAGGTGTGTAAAAAAGGAGGTGTGACACTTTTAAATCACTTGAATTATTCGTAATTAAAGAATTGAGTTACGCGTACGTATACTCTTTTCTTTTGGCGCATCATAATCATGTCACGTGAAGCGTGTCCATGATTAATAACGCTTTTTGTTGATTTGTTAAGAAAGTTTGGTTGAAGTTGCGCGAACGCATCCCTCGAGTCTTTTTTAGAGTTAAATTTGCAATTATGTTACGCGAACGTATACATAATCGCAATACTAATCTAAATCGGCGCCTAAAGCAAACTACGATTATTCAATTTTAATAGAAACATTTTGTGAGGGCCATGGATTATTTAAATTGTTTATTACACTCCTCAAACCTTTTCTATAAGGGCTAGCTCTTGGTCTAATTTTTATGAGGGCCATGATAATGGGTTTTAATTTGGCATGGCACGCCTCAAACCTTTTTCTATAAGGATTATACTTAATTAAACTTAAAAGATATTTCCATCCGAACTTTGGGCTCAAGCTGTTGAATAACATGTAAAGTAACACAGCGGCCTATGCAAATCGAGGCAGGAACTGGGCCAGGCAGGCCCAGTATATTATTGCATGCTTCCTCTTTTTAGGCAAAGGAAATGGGC